TGGGAAGAAAATTCTAATATATGAAAAGTAGACCCCACTTACTCCCTTTTGTTCATCAGTCTTTCTGTGGATTAACAGAAATGCTGGTAGAGCTAGCCACAAACTAATCAATCACCCTTCTAATTTCCTTCAAATTTCTAAAACAACAGGGTTTCTCCATGTTGCTTAATAAAGACTGAGCTCCCAAAGGATCCTGTGTCTCAACCTTGCAATTGGCAGGGCCTAGAAGCCACTAAAGCTGTTTGAAAAGAGGCAGCTGCCAGCACCACATAACTTGCCATGACCAGCTGGTCCCATTATGCAAACAAGAGTGTCCCTTGGCAAAGCAATCCAACAGGCTCCAGAGTGTATGACTGTATTTCAGCTGGTAGTTTTGAATGAAAACAAAAGTTGGTGAAAGGAAAAGGTGCTATGTATAAGTAGTTTTCATCTATCCTGCCTCTGCTGTGGGTGGGTGAATGTCACTCCAACCTTTTTCTGGAAAAGACAGCTATTAATTACAAGCATCAAAGGGTTGTCCTGCAAAGCCGTCATGGACCAATGCTGGTCTCAGAAGTGAACTGTTTTTTGAGCGCCTTGGCTGTGATTGTAGTCACAGTGATCTGTTAATCTTCTCTTGCAAAAGACCTTAAAAACATTTCATTCTCCTGCGAGGCTCTTCCAGAACTGCTAACAAGTGCAAATGTGTGATGATCAACCTTCCCCAGACCCAACAAACTCCAGACAAGCTGATATAAAGGCAATATTTTAGTGGAGCAATAAGACACTCACTGATCCCCCTTCTCAGTTTCCAGCGTACAAATTAAGCAAATACTAAAAGTAATGGTGGCAATAAACAGTGTAGTTTGAATGAAAAACTCAGAAATACAGAAAACACAAGATGTAGTAGAGGTGTGGACTCAATGAACAAGATTGTCCTTTTCCTGCCTAGAATGATCTCATTTTTAAATTATATTTTCAAATTATATTTCCCTAACAATCCCGTATCTCCACAAATACAATTACCAGAGCTACCCTAGAGAGTTATTCAGGCAGACTGCAGTGGCTTCAACAGACCTGTTGGCAAACCCATCAGCAGCATAATTTTGTACAAATTGCTATCAAGAACCAAGATGCAAATTCCATACACAGAGTAGGACTAATCAATAGAAGCTCTCAATGCTTTGCCTCAGACCACTCCACAGACAGGCTAATGCCAGTAATGCAGAAGAAAATGGATTCTAGCATTTCAATGTTAACATGCATTTTTTCCTCTCACTGTCCTGATCAGTAAAGGCATTTTGTTTACTTATGCAGCACAACAGGCATCTGGCACCTCAAAGAAAAGAAAAATATAATCAAAATATCAAGATTCCTGCTCATGGAGCTTTCAGGAAGCTGGAGCACTATCCTCTGCCTCTCCCAAGCATCAGTTCAAATTCTGCTACCACTTAAGCATCCGAAACAAGGCTGTGATATTCTACACTGAGTATGTCTAACAGTAGGTTCTCCAAAGACTGTATTACCTTTGGTTTAAGAAAAAAACAAAACAAAACAAAAACAACAAACTGACTATTCTGTTATGAAAATAACTAGGTTTTAGTTATGTAAAAAGTTATAGCAAACACATTTCTTGAACATTATATAGTAATTTTCCCTTCTTTCATATGTGTAGTTCCTCAGATCCAAAATAAAGCCCTCTTAAATATATGAAACTCTCTGCTTCTCTACTTATCATCATTCATAAGTCATAACGTAACAGACACTGTTCCCTGTAGCTTCAGACCGACAGATATTTTTCACTTTCACAACAAATTTTTAGATTCTGAAAATTCTGAAGCTGGTGATTTTAAGCCTCCTACTTACTTTGAAAGTTGCTGAGAATTCAGAATCAGTCTCTGCAATGGTTACCTTCTTCAAGTCTTTCTCACATATCAGTAAAACAAGCATACAGTCTTCTCTTTAAAAGGTGGAAATTAGGCTTTCTTTGTATATTTACAGCTAAAGGGCTTTGCTATCAAAGCAAGCTAAAAACCAGTACAATTCAACTGGGTGTTTAAAAGAAGCTCGTTATTGAATTAAAATTTAAGGGATTGCTTTTAAAAAATATGAACTGCTAAGTGGTATCACAGCTAGAGATTATACCACTGCTGGAGATATGCTATAGTAAAATCAGATAGCAATCAGAAATCTTGTCTCCTCTGAAAAAATGGATGAGAATCCAAAATCTGTGAGAGCAGCAGTGAGAGAGGAGACACACAATTTACTGTTTGATTCTCTGACACTTTAGAGCCACATTCTCTTTATAAACCTGACAGAAGTTCTCTGCCAAAAAAAAAAAAATCTGTAGGTCCATTTCACAAAATTGTGTGTGGACCAAAATAATGAAAGCAAGAAATGGCAAATAAAGCAGAGTTTAATGGAGCTGTTGCAAGGATGAGAAAAGAAATGGATGAAAGCATTTTGCTGGGAAATAAAGGTGCATAAAACAGCTGTGAAGGCTTTTATTTTCTAGTAAAACACACGGTTGCTGCTGACAAAATAACCAAATCAGAAAATATTCCCTTTCAGCCTTCAAAACATTTGTTCTTTGGCTTACAAAACCCAAAAACATCCTCTCCATCTTAAAAGTTTTCTCAGGAATCCTTCTCTTTTTTAATTTCCTATGGGGAAAAACCTTCTGTCAAGGCATAAAATATTTTATATTTCCCACATTTAGTGGGAACAAAACAAAAAGGCAGCTTTCTTGTGAACACTTTCGAGCTTCTGGCTCTCTCTGCCTCCTGTTCTTGGTGCAGATGGACTAGCCTCATGGGAAATTTTCCTCTGACCTCAGCTTTCACATTCCACCTCTTTTGCTCCTCTGTTCACAGAGAGGTTTGACCTCTCCATCTCCTTGCAAGGTGGTCTTCTTGTTCCTCTCACAGCTGTCACAAGGCAGGTATTTCTGACGTGCCCTCATTGCCTACAGCCTCCCTTTCTGTTAAAGAAGAAAAGCTGCAGAAGCACTTGCCTGTCTGCATCAGTTTGACACTGAGTGGTGGACGGAGCACATTGCCTTGTGATAGGTGGCATCACACATGGGATGAAGGTGGGGCAGGCCAGAGGGACCAGCTGAGGAGCCACTGCTTCCCAGCTTTGAAGGACCTTCCTGTTGACATCTTCCAGCCCTTGCTCAGCCTCGAAGCAAGAGGGCTGGGCTGGTATTCACTAGTGACACTTCAGTGAGATCTTCCATTAAAAGATCTTTGTAGAAAATGCTGGTGTCAACATCCTTGGCACCCAGAGGTGTCACACTTTAAGGACAGAAGCACTATTTTTCTAAAGCAACTTGGAGGTAAAACACCAGTCCTGCATTAAAGAGGATAGCTGTCTTCTAATCTCAATTTGTGTGCAGAGCTGACAAGCCAACAACTGATGAAGCAAAAGAAGGCATTTGTCTAAAAGGTCAATTGTTTGCTGATTGTCACACTTCTTGAAGCCTCCCTCAAAGCTTCAGGCATGGAGTAGCTGTCAGGTCCTGGACCAGTTGAGTCTCCATCCTGGCAGTCCTATCCACCCAGTTCTACAAGCACACAGCGCTAAACCATATCTTAGGTCTTACATGTCCTCCCATGCAGTCTTGTTCTTCCTTCTCCCTTTCCCATTATTTAATAAGCTCCTGGATTTGACAAATATTATCCCTAAACAGATGTCAGTACACTGAAAATTAACAAAACTGATGTAGAGAAAGTATTAGGATATTGTCGTATTCAATAGGAAATGAATGCAATCCCTCAAGTCTCTTTCATGTCATTAATATTTGCAAAAAATTTTAATAGTGACAATTTATATGATGATTTAACTGCATTATCAAATCAATCTATTTCTCTCACATCTAGTTGGCCTCATAGAACAATAAAGTTACCACACTGAAAAATTCCAGTCTCATTTTACGTACTGTTTCACCGTGTATCTGGACGACTTCTGTGTTTGGCAATGATGTACTACAGAAGGTTTCCCTCTAAAAACCTCTCACTACTGCCTCTTACAATATTTATACTGGGACATCAATTTCCCAAGACTGTTTTAAATTTTGTAATTCCATGCCATCAGAAATAGAGTGCTCATATCCAGAAGCTTGAGTAGAAATGTTTTCCAGATATGTTACTTTAAGTGCCGTCCTTCATTCTGTCCTTAAGTCACCCCCAAGTTTTACTTGTAGAAGTATTGTTCTTCATTCTTCTCTGTTTCCTTAATTTCATTTTCTTGCTGAAATTTGATTATGTGCTTCTGCAGGGAGAGTATTTTAGAAAGGCAGTCTTTGAGGACAGGAGAAAATTACTAGTTTGCACAAACAGTGGGGGAAAACTTGCACTTGCATTCAGGAAAAGTCCTAATGACTTCAGTAGGAGGCTTGCTAAAATGTAAAATTGAAGGTACTGTATTTTGGAAGTCTGCTTAATCTGACTTCACCCCACCACAAAATCCTGAAGGATCTCCAGTGTTGACACATAAACTTGATGCCAAAGACTTAAATCTGCATGATTAGCTTCACGCATATGCATAGTTAATTCAGGAATTTCAATACTTGAAGGGATAAACCAGGACAACTCTTACTATGATTTGCACCCACATGTGTCAATATGCAGTCTGTCCTGATTTAATTTCCCAAAATAAAATATTACATTTTGATCCAGAGAGGAAAACTTTGATGTTTTTGTAAAAGGAAAAAGGCAGTTAAATCATTTAGTATTTCAGCAGCAGAGAGTATTCCCTTGTTCCTTCCAAAAGGTCCTATCTGATTTTGGGCTGGGGATTTAGACTGAAGTGTTACTAGGTGATAACTATTGGCATGTTCTATGCATGCAGAATGTTTAATGTGAATTCCTGGGGCCAGATCTGCATGCATAGCTGCAGCCATATATTAGGCCTATGGTTTGAACTCACTCATTTCAGTAAAATCATACACTTAAAAAAGTCAGGCCCTGGGTATTTAGAGCAGGTTATGCAAATGGCTGTTAAGTGCTGTTGAGACTTACCCTTTCTGTATTAGCCAAGAACCTGAGCTCCTATGCCATCAACAGATGCTTGTTTACATAAACTCATTTATGATATACCCCGTAAAACATATTTGGGCAATGTGTTCAGGGCTTTAACAATCTGCTTTAATTGCATGAAAACTTAGAATTATTTTTAAAATATTTCCGTTATTAAATAATTGACTTGAATCTGTGCAAACTGATGAAAGTCCTGTCAAAACAAATATTCACACTCAGGTTAGTAGCACCTGAAGCAATAGCTCCTTAGAGAAATGGTGACCTTATTAATGATTTTCAGTGACGCAAATGGTATCACTATGCTACTGCTAGGACTAGGTTACATCATTTTCTCAGCAATGCCTAAGCAATGTAAGTCTAATTTATTTTCTGCCTTATTGCCTGGCTGCTCCTCAGTTTTGTATTATAACAGTTTATGTACCTTTGTGGAATGTCATCATTCATGATCAAAAAAGGTGGAAGTACCAAGTTTGAAATGGCTTGATCAAATCCAGATTTACCTTCTGAATTTTGCTCTACACAGCAGCAAAGAAGTGAGGTACTTCCCAGGCACAAGCTTGTGTACAGTATCAGAGTGCCTGTCAGTATCAGAGAAGTAAAATATAAGAGCACTTTAATTCTTTAAGAGAGCCATTACAAAGTTAGGGAACACATTGTATGACTATACTGAGAATGCTTGAAAGTGAAAATGATCGTCAGAGCTTAGTTCTAACGTTAGCTCTCTTCTACAGCAATATCAGGCTTTCAGACCTCCTCTTTGTACACCTTTTTATCTGTTACACACAATCTGCTAGGTGCATACTCTATGATCCTTAGAAGTAAAGCAGAGGATTCAAAGACTGTGCCAATATAGGAATGAGATTGGATTTTTCCCGTATAGAGCAACTCCAAATTCTCTGACAGCAGGTATGCAAAGCTTGATGCTCAAAACCAGTGGCAGAGTAAAAAGAGTATCCATTCCTGGATGACTGCATCAAGAAATATCTCAAAAGACAACCCTCCTCCAAAGCAGCTGGTTTCCTTAGACCCAGTAAACACCACATTAAATTGGCCCAGGCAGGAAGGAATGTGCTGTGAACATGATTCCCACAATTATTACTGAAACAAGAAACAAAGATCTGTGAATAATTTCTTTTGAACAGTAATTTTCTGTTTTCTTGCCTGACATGTGGCATACCTGTCAGGTATGTGCTGGTCAGAAATAGATAACAAAAGCAGGTGTATAGAGAGAAAGGAGGCTTTTGTAACATGGTAAGTGAAGCAAAGAAAATAATATCATCAGTGATTTTCAGTGTTTTGCTTTTTCACAATAAATTCTTCAAACAATGAGGATTCTTCAACTTTCTCATTTCATATTGCCTCCCAAAGAGGTACATTTTTCTTTTTAAAAGGGGAAAAAGTTAGATAGCTATGCCATCTTAGTTCTCTAAAGTGTTCAGCATTCTCTTTTTGAGCCATGTTGGTCAGCTGTAATTTGCCAGCCAAGTCACCTGATTTGCGCTATCCCTGTTTTCTAGCTGAATCCAGGTGTGAGTGCTCCCAGCATGAATAGTGACAGATGAGTGTAAAAAATTGCTTTCTGAGAATACCTGCACCTGTCACTGTGTTACTTGTCACTAGGCTTTCATTTTCTGAAAATGTTCAGAAATGTTAGGTGAATTTGCACTGCAGCAAAACATAAGGAAGGGCGAATTCAGCTGGAATAACTTCCCATTTTACCCAGTGAACCTTTCAGCCCAGCACATGATGTCCTTGGGGTCTTGAATGTCATAGGATGTTTCACAGAGGGGATACTGCTAAGTGTGTCAAAAAAAGCTTACAACATATTTTAATACCCAGGTGTCCATAGACCTGAAAGAAATTAATACTTTGCCTAACTTATTTGAAATGTAAACAAAACATCTCTCTTTGCTACTCATTGTGGGCCCAATGTGTGAAAGAGGAATGGTCTTCACTGAGAATTTCACAGGTGAGGTCAAGATTGAGTTTATAATGGAAAACAAGTTTTGACCTTAGCTATGCAGAGCCAATAGCCTCTCCATAATACAACTGTCAGTTCAATTTTTGTCAGCAATATAAACATGGAATTGAAATAAGTGTTAGACTAGGATTTGGATGAAAGTTTTAATCAGATGAGCACCTGCACTCCAAGTCTTATTAAACTGTTGAGGCTGAAATTGTGTGTGAAACATTGCCATCCAGTGGCTGCTTCTAGTTTCCAACCCTCCCACAAAGACATTTGCAGGGGAGAAATGTTACGGATTATGGCATCCCTCCTCTTTCATGAAACCACAGTGGTCTCTGCATTAGCACCACGATTTTAGGAGAAAAATTCAAATACCAAGGGTCTCCAGACCTTTCAAGCTGTGCACTTTTTAAGTAAATATTTGCTTCTTATAGCAATGCATTATATTGACATTTAGGTCTCAGAAAAAAAAAACAACACTTACGCATCTGTGGTGTATCCCTCAAAAGAGGAGGCTGCAGCTGAGGGGTGAAAACCTAAAGGAGTGAAGTGGCCAGCCTCAGACCATGAAGCCCAGATCCCAAAATCACGATGAAACATCATTTTTCTAGCTGAATGTCATTGCTTATATCCCTTTATCCCAGCCTGCCACTCCGAAGCCTGGGTTTCCTGAAGTTTCCTCTTTCCTGAAAGCTCCATCACTGATTTTTCCCTCTTATAGGGGACTGAAATTTTGAAAGCCTCACATGCTTCTCCTGGGAACTAACTCTTCTGCTTTACCAAAGGGCATCTAGAGCATGGATACTGGCTTTCCTTCGGCCACCTTGGTGTCACTCACACTCAGCAATGATCTGGAAGAACCACATTTGGTCTTCGTGTCTAATGTCACTCTGTCACTCTGTGGAGCTTTTCAGATGGCCAGAAGTCATTAGAGGCCCAGCTGCAGAAATTCAACTGAGGGCTTAATTTCTGTGGAGAACACTGCTTGGTGTTAAAATCTTCACAATGGAAGTGCTAATCCATAGAAAATGAGATTGTGAATAGCTATATTACTATGACTCAGTTCCTTTGAGTCATGGCCCATATGGGGTGGAAATGACATCCTCTTAGACAAGCTCAGGAAGTGGGGGCTGGGTGAGTGGATGGTGAGGTGGATTGAGAACTGGCTGAATCATAGAATCATAAAATCAACTAGGTTGGAAAGGACCTTTAAGAGCATCAAGTCCAACTGTTACCCCAGGACTGCCAAGTCCACCACTAAACTGTAGGCCTCGTCTACATGTTTTTTTTGAATGCTTTCAGTGATTCCACCACTTCCCTGGACAGTTTGTTCCAATGCCTGATCATCCTCTTGGTGAAGAAATTTGTCCTAGCATCCAAACTAATGGCAGGTTGTAGTCAGTGGTACAGAGTGTAGGTGGAAACCTCTAACTAGCGGTGTCCCCCAAGGGTCAAAACTGGGACCGATCTTGTTCAACTTCATCAATGACTTGGATGAAGGTATAGCGTGACTCCTCAACAAGTTTGCAAATGATACAAAACTGGGTGAGTGGCTGATAGCCCGCAGTGCTTTGCTGTATTCAGAAGGATCTAGACAGGTTAAAAAGATGGACAGAAAGGAACCTTTTGAAATTCAACAAAGGCAAGTGCAGGGTACTACACCTGGGGAGGAATAGCCCCATGTTCCAGTACAGGCTGGGGGCTCACCTGCTGGAAAGTAGCTCTGCTGAAAGGACATGGGGTTACTAGTGGACAACAAGCTGTCCATGAGCCAGCAATGTGGCCCTGCAGCCAGGAAGGCCAATGGTATCCTGGGGTGCATTAAGAAGATCACTGCCAGTAGTTTGAGGGAGGTGACCCTCCTTCTACTCAGAATTGGTGAGGCCTCACCTGGAGTACTGTGCACAGTTCTGGATGCCCCAGTACAAGAGAGGCATGGAGCTCCTGGAGCAAGTCCAGCAAAGGGCTACTAGAAAGAGTAGAGGGTCTGAAGTACCTCTGATATGAGGAAAGGCTGAGGGAGCTGGTCCAGTTCAACCTAGAAAAGAGAAGGCTCAGGAAGGATTTGATCAATCTGAAGGAAGGGTGTACAGAGGATGGGGCCAGACTCTTCTCGGTGATGCCAGGCAATAAGATGAGAGGCAACAGGCACAAACTGAAACACAGGAAGTTCTACCTAAACATGAGGAAGAACTTTACTGTGAGGGTGACTGAGCATTGGAAGGGGGTGCCCAGAGAAGCTGTAGGGTCTTCCTCCCTGGAGATATTCAAGAACCATCTGAACACAATCCTGAGTAATGTGGTCCAGGTGACCCTGCTTGAGAAGTGAGGTTGGACTAGATGACCTCCAGTGGACCCTTCCAGCCTCAACCACTTCATGATACTGTGAAGATAAGAAGCTCTGCTCCTCTCCCGGGCCCATAAACCACCTGGTTCTACTTTCTTCTTATCTACACATTCATCTGATCTCTACCAGGTTGTGTAGATCTGTTTTTTTTATCCTATACAGACAGTTCCTATGTTTGGAATCCCATGATAATGAAGTCCTGGTTCCTGTTAAAGGAAACTGATGTCCACAAGTATCACCATCATCTCACCAAACTGCAAAGCAGTCCTTGCAGCATAATATTAAAGCTTGTTCCTCAGCTCTATAGAGTTGTAGCATTTGACTGGATGGTACACATCACAAAGGACCCAGGACCGCGGAGGGTAAATATTTGCTCTGCTTGTGGTATCAGGCTGGACTGTATATGACAGCTAAGTTAAAGGTCATGCTTACTACTAAAGATAAAAGGGTTAGTACAAAAATGCAGTTTATTTTGTTAAAAGTAACTATAGGTTTGCAATACTCAGGCAAGTAAAATAAAGAACTTAAAAATCTTGAAACAGGCTTGTACTCTCAAACTGTTTCAAGTCTTTCCTTTTGGAGATTTGCCCTGGCTAGCTAAACTCAGGAGCAGTTGGACAGTCCTATTAAAAGTTACCTTGACAAGATAAATCAAAAGAACACTAAATAACATGTAACTGTGACTGACACATGAACATTACCCTGCCTTATAAGTATGCCTTATAGATTATTCAGCTATGCATCTAAA